TAAAACTGTGTACTCAAAAAAATTCTAACACTTCAGAGAAAAAAATTTTAAATTTCGATGAAAATTTGTTGCATTCTGTTGTAGTCTTTTACGAAGTTTTAAAATTGGGTTTATATGGGTTTTGTTAGAGGATAAACTGTGTTTTAATGAAAAATTCTTAAAAATAAATAATTAAAAATAAGTGACAAACAATGTCACTTTGAAATGGGGGTGCTATGAATGATGAAGTTTTAATTTAAATTAGCATGTTTTGAACGAATTCGGAATGTCTAAGGTGGAAAAGAACCCAACTTTTCTATAAGGAAACAATTATAAAAAAAGAATTTTCTTACACTGTATTTATGCCTCCGCCAGCAGTCATTTAAAAGCAGCTAAGGAGAACGACGACACTACTTGTTAGATGGCAATTCAACGAGCCAATGTGCCAAAATGCGGGTATAAACAATTACTCATTATTTAATATCGGAACCGAGATCATATAAGTTAACTGATTGGTTTTCACACACTTTTGAAACACAAATTATATGCTTTTTTACTGCAGACAAGTTGTTGCCTCAAAACACAGCAGAAATCTTCCAATCAGGGCTGCCAACTCTCCTTAGTTATGAGGTGCCATATTGAGGATAAAAAAAGTACCAAAATGTTCCAAATAGAAAAATAAAAGTGCCAAAAAAGGTGTAATTCCTTTTAATCATTCACATTTAGCAATAAAATAAAGCCACATTTTCAAAACAAAAGTGCAATGATAAAATAAGATAAACCAGTCGAAAAGCCTTTATAAATTAGAAAATTTTAGTTGAGAAAAAGAAGTGCACGCAAAGGATTTCACAAAACTGTATTGAAATGTTATTTTTTTTACAAAAGTGCCATTTTGGCATTTTGTGCCAAATTGAAAAATTAAGTGCCATTTGAAGTAAAATAGGAACAAATGGCACGGTTTGAGCCAAGTTGGCATCCCTGCTTCCAATAACTTACAAATATAAAAATGTGAAATATCGAGGGCTTGAATTCATTAATACCCTCTATCTGCAATTTGCACAAAAACTAATTTGTGATTTTAGAAACCATCTGGGACTTATATTATATGAGGTAACATTAATATCACTGATGACAGTTAAAGCTTAGGTGGATTTTTATATCAGAATCCCATCATTGTGAAAAGTGTGCAGATAGGGGGTATTATTGAATATAAACCCTCGATGTTTAAAATATATAAAAATTTTATTTCAACGTATACAAAAAATTAATCCACCTGCGTTACAGCACGTCGTGAGACGGGGAAGGGGGGGCCGGGGGGGCCGCGGCGTAGCGTGACTTGGTGTGCGCGCCGGTCGCGCTGGGTACGCGGGACGCGAGCGCGAGCGCGACGCGCGCGGTGTGGCGCGCTGACGCGGGCCGCCGCGAAGCTAAGCAAATTTAATGTTTGAAAGAGAAATAACGTCAATTGATTTTATTTCGTTTTTAAAAAGGTAATAATGTCAATTGACTTTATTTCGCACCAGGGTGGGAAATAAAGTCAATTGACCTTATTTCCGTTGATCTTATTACCTGTCACCAATTTGAAGCTAAGAATAAATTTTCTTGATTTGGACAATTTTTTCCTGACGGTGTTAGCATATTCCTCCACACAAAATTTTTCCGTAGGTAAAAAGCAAGTTACGAAAGTATCTAAAAGTAAGTCGAATTCAACTCCGAAATCCCGTTGGCAAATTCTTTATGAAGTATTTCCTGAAAATGCGATAATAATTAAATTATGCTTACCAGAAAGGTATAAAATATAGTTTACGTTTTTCTTTATTGGGGTCTACTTTGTACTCGATGGGATACGAGAAAATTCTTCAATATATCTCTTAATTTGAAGGCATTTTGTGATGCATTGTTCGAGCCTACCCTCCGAGCCTTTTGTAAAGGCGTTGAAACATCACTCCGCCACAATCCTTTTTTAAAACCGTCGCCTTCCTCCTGGTCGAGATACTCCGCTGGACAATAGCTACCATCGTGCATTTTAACGAAGTTGTGGAGGACAACAGTAGCTTTAACAATTTTTTCAGCAGATGCGGGGCTCATTTGCAAAGGACTTAAAAGTTACTTTTCAATTACGCGCCGTGCTCTGGACAACCGCTTGTTAAAAATTTGCCTGTCCAGAGGCAAGTTGGCTCCTTAATAAAATAAGTATGCATTTAATGAGGAAATAACTTAGTATAAATTATGTATTCATACAAACCTGGATATGGTCTCATTAAAAATGACTTCAATGGAAACGCGTTATCACCTACAAAGTAGTGCGGGAAACTTATATCAGTGTCTGGTAATATACTGTTTTCAGGCAGATCCAGTTTTCCATTGTATAGGAGTTTTCCAAAGCCTGAATTCCACAAAATGCCGCCATCACTCTGCGAACCGTAAGCCCCGATATCTATGCCAGTAAAAGTGTAATTGGCATCGCACACCGCCAGCAGAACAATAGAATACGTCCCTTTGTAATTGTAAAAAAGGGAGCCCGAGTTTGATGGGCAAAATATATTGATCTGTTTACCATCGATCGCACCAATACAATTAGGTAAATCCCACATTAAATAAAAGTCCGTGGCAATACGCTTCCATTCATCTTTCAGTGGAACTGACAAATAAACAGGACCAAGTATCTCCCACAAGACATCGCACGTTTCTCCAACGATTTCTTTCATGGTGGATAGCCCTATTTTAAAAGCGCAGGAATAAAATGGCTTACTCCCTCCGTGAGCCAAGTAGCTAAAATTTAAATTTATTTAATCATTTAATACCTGTAATGCTACTGCGAACCACCTACGGAGGAAGCCTCCCAACCTAACTATAATGCAAGCAATTTACCTGAGGGTTAAGTATAAACGAAACTCTGGGGGAATAGATGGTCGGTTAGAATTTTTGCTTATTCGCTCTCTTATTAAACTAAGGAGCAAGTCGAATACAGGCTTTTCCATTCGAATTGCTTGCTTGAATTCCTCAGTGAATCCAAAATGCGTGCTAAAAAATCCATGGGTGTCTCGATTTTGCAGAGCAGGTCGCACCCAACAACTACGAACTCCATAAATCCTCTTAAAACACTCTCTGGCTTCCAGCAACATCAAAATAATCAATATGACTTCTATAGTTTCCATTTTTATGAGTTTTTTTATTTTAAACTATCACAACAAAAAATTTTTGTTTTCAACACAGCGAGACATTTGCCGCCAACAAACTACAGCTGATTTTTGTTTATATACATTAACGCTTACATTGCGGCGCCGCTCTACGTTCATTCACGTCACGTCAGTTTCATACTTGAGCGTCACGTACGCAAAGTACTCATTCTGACGGGGCTATAAGTTAGTGGGTGTACCTCAAGAATAGTTGCGTTTTTTTACTCATTTCCAGTAAAATCCAGTAAAAGTTTTTACGAATTTTCATGTTTTGGCGTTTTCGTACGCAAAAACTTGCAAAGTAGGGGAAATTGAGAGAGCGAAAAATGACAGCTGAAGTTGCAAGTTTTTACTGGATTTTACTGGATAAATTTTTACTTGTAAGAATTTGCCAGTACGAAAAACAGCTGATCGCATGTTGCTGGATGAAATTTAAACTAATAAGGAAACTGTTTGTGGCTTT